CCTTTACTCTGTCTTTTGTCGTCTTTGACTTGTGCTCAAGCATTTTGTTTCAAAAACTGAAAAACACATTGTGAATCTTTATATATTATTAGTTTTATATATATATATATATATATATATATATATATATATATATATATATATATATATATATATATCAGTATCACGTATGTATTTGTTAACATTGTTTAAAAATGATTTCTTCTCAAAGAAGATGGGAAAGCCACTGAAAGGCAAACGGTGAATATAAGAAAGTTAAAAAGTGTGAGAACAATATTAAAGAGAGGATAAAAGACCAGGATAATTAACAGACAGAAGATAACGATTAGGACATATAGTAACATCTAGCAATGTTAACTTTAAACTGTTGAGACCTTGCTGCCAATCTAGTACTGCGTTTAATTTCGTAAAAAAGAATAAGACTTATAACTATTACCATGAAAATGTTTATAGAAAAAAAAGGCCTTGGCGGTGGGGAAGTCAGTGGAGCAGTGTTGCCACGTCAGGACCGATAACATTGCGGATAAAATAAGTTAACCTTGTGTATTCAGTATGTCAAGCAATGGTGATATTTAAGAGGAATTGGAAACAAAATGGTGAATTCTTTCTGAATTTCTGTCATCGGTACTTACACTCATTGGAAACGGGCGAGAAATAAAAGAGCAGTACCAAATATAAATAAGAACCAGACGAGGTATCCGAAGACATGAGCAGCGGAACGGGAACAGTCAAACCCCGTAGATTAAATAAAGGGTTCAGTTCAGAATTTCTTGTAGGTTACCCAGATCGTTATAAACCTGAGGCAGGCCGTAAAGCACAACGACAGAAACGCTGTGATAAAAACAACAACAATGAGGACAATAGTCCGAATATAAACTGTCTATATATAATAATAGCAGCATGGTCCGGCGTTGCCCGTGCTTGATTCAAAAACCGTACAACTCATACAGTAATCGCTATCACTTGACTTAAAATATTTTTGCCATTCCTTGCCTTTAAAGGAGTGCCCTTTTCCGTGCTGATGTTGCTACATGCCTTACTTCTTGCCTATCTCACACTGCGAATTTTTTCTAAGCTCTATACTAAACATTAAATCTGTTACGAAAAAAGAACTAAACAAAATGAACACAAAACGATCAACTTTAAAAATAGACTCGTAACTGGAAAAACCCAATGAAAAAGGATGTTAACAACAAATACTTTTTCACACCCAACCCATATATATATATATATATATATAAGGCAGTTTAAAAGTGTATATATATATATATATATATATATATATATATATATATATATATATATATATATATACAGGTGTCCCAAAATAATGTATGCCCCTTTAAATATTAATAGTTAACAATACATTACGGTGATATGAGAACTTATATGGAAGAAAATATGCAAAACAGATGGATTGGAAGATGGACAATTGAATACCCACATAGATCACCAGATTTGGCACCCTTGGATTTCTTTTTGTGGGGGTTTCTGAAAGAGAACGTTTACAGCAGTAAATCTGAAACAATTGCCGAAATGAGAGAAGCAATTGAAGAAGAATGTGCTCAAATACCCGAGGAAATGATACTAGACATTTGTAGGTCTATTTCTTCAACATATGAAAAGTGTATTGAACAGAAGGGCAACCAGTTTGAGCACTTGATGCCATTGCCCCATGTAGCTTTTATTTTATTAAAGTTAATTTTGTTTTATTTTTTGTATATTTTACTCTCTTTAAAAGTGTATTCTTTTCTTGCATTAATCTTATTTTCAAGTCAAAATACATAAACTTAATAATTCATAACGAGTCAAAGAGTGTATACATTATTTTAGGACACTATATATATATATATATATATATATATATATATATATATATATATAGAAAACTAGATTCGTTTCGAAAAACCCTCGAATTTTCGATTTGCTAATCAAATCAATCTCGAGGGAAAAAAAGGTTTTAAAAAAAGAAAGAGCTACAAACATGGACTTCTGCCGACAAAAAAATCGCACAGATGCAGGTCTGAAGCCCAAAGAAAAAACCCCGATACGAGTAAACAACTAACAAACAAAAGACCTCAATACAACCGTAGAGCAGACCTAGATACACCTAGTGAGCCAGACAAACCTACCTAGGTTTCGCCTAAACGGATCGTCAGGGAAAGTTTGGCTAACGAGGCAAAGAGAAACACACATATTTATAGGTGATAGCTAAAATCATACCACGTGACAAAATAAAAACAAAAGACAAAAAAACAAAAACAACCTAAGTGGTGGGGGGAAATATTTATTCAACAAAAAAAAACAAAAAAAAAAACCTCAGTGGAAAGTCAATAACGGGAAAACGTCTAATTAAGTAGCCAAGATTTTTTATGTCTACATACATTGAGAATTTCAGTTTTAGAGTTTAATAGTTGGTTGGGTTGATCATATAACGCTATGGCTAATTTCTCCTCAGCACATAATTTGCAAAATTTATGGCCTGCTTTATATTTTGGGCATTTTTTTAATATTTCCCATTTAAGGATGGGGTCTATATTATCTTCTTGTTTGGTTTTCCATACGTAGGTAGATAGCGTGGTACTATGTTTAATTTTTGCATTCTTAAAACTACTCGTGTGGTTATAATATCTTTTTTTAAATTTATCCTGAGTAGCACCTATGTATGTTTTAGGATTAGTATCCTCAGTATTTTTGTAAATTTTCATTTGATACACCACGCATTCCTGCTGGCATTTTCCCTGTAATGGACAGATGTTTTTGTTTCTACAATTACAAGTAGGAGGATTACTACGTGGATCATTCCTAGTTTTTTTCTTATTCAATCCATTTATAATAGTCCCTACGTTCGGCATACAACAATAAACTAAGTTTTACATTGTTTTTGTTAAATATTTTATGTAACTCAGTTTTTTTTTGGGAAATGTTGTTCCAGTAAATTAAAAAAATATCTTTACCAATTTTAGTTTTTTACCGCTAAATTGAAAGGGGGATTAAACCACAAAAATTTTTCTTTGCCTATTATGTTTATTCCGAGTAATATTGTGGTTGTGGTTTCTTTTTTTTTTTTTTTGTTGAATAAATATTTCCCCCCAGATAGTTTTTTTTTTTTTGTCTTTTGTTTTATTTTGTCACGTGGTATGATTTTTAGCTATCACCTATAAATATGTGTGTTTCTCTTTTTGCCTCGTTAGCCAAACTTTTTTTGACGATCCGTTTAGGTGAAACCTAGGTAGGTTTGTCTGGCTTACTATATATATATATATATATATATATATATATATATATATATATATATATATATATATATATATATATATTGTGTCCCTAAAATAATGTATACATTCCAGTCGAATCCATTACATTCACTTACGTGCTAATACCCTTGGGAAAGGTATGAATCTTCTTACTTTCCCTCCAGCTGTGGGTAAAATAGCAGGACAGACTGGGTTCTATAGCCTTGGATGGCAACTGGTCTAGGAGAAAGACAACTCTGAATTCAAAACCTGCGGAGGGTCGTTTGGGAACCTTGTGGCACCAGGTCTCTGTATTCGTCCCTTCAAAAAGTGTTTCCTGGAAACTGATCTGTTTGACCCTCATACGTCGAATCTCGACGGGAGAGTCGATTATTATTATTATTGTATATAAAGTAAAAAAGGTACATGAAACGGGAGAGCAATAACTGAGCTGTGCTAAATATAAATAATCCATAGATATTAGAAGGGGTACTAGAAAAGTCTACCACCGGAGATTAAATAAAAGGTTCAGGTACTGCAGATGAGTCAAGATAAGGATTTGACGATAATTTTGCTTTATCAGTACAAGATGTTAACACCTCATATCATGACGAGAGGCCGGATAGAAGAATATAATTTAACACACTATTACACAGCCGCCGGTAATCATGATATGAGTTTTGTATGAAGTGCTGGATAAAAATACCTCTAGCGAGGCCTATGCTACTTGCAATTTCGTTATTTCTTCTACTGACCTTATGCCAAAATTTCTTCTATTTCTTCTAGTGACCTTATGCCAAAAGTGTGTCAAAGCGTTGGTTTGTAAATTTGGTGAAACAGTGGTTGTGAGTTCAAACCCAGTATAAGACGACGCGTGAAAACGGGTGAGCAATAACTGAACAGTTCAAAGTAAAAATAAAGAAACATATATCTCTAGACATGAGCAGTGGGACGAGAACAGTTTACGTCCATCGATTGAATAAAGGGTTTTGTTCAGAATTCGCCGCCGGTTATTCAGATTGATATACACCTGAGGAAGGCCGCAGGGCACAACGGCCGAAACGTTGTGATAACAATCACAAAGATGTTGAGAATAGTCTGAATATAAATAGTGTAAATAAAAAAAAAATACTTATACTGAACATCAGCGAGAGAGAGAGAGAGAGAGAGAGAGAGAGAGAGAGAGCAAAAGAGTTGAATTTTTTAGGACACAAAATAAGGAAAGCAGGCTTGGAAAATTTGACACCCACGGGACAAATTGAAGGCAAGAGGGACAGAGAGATACAGCGCATAACCTACCAAAAAGACTAAAAAGGACGGGAAATTGTGGAGAGCCACTGCCTGAAGGGATTACTACTTAGAAGAAGTTTGTGTACGTGTGTCTGTTTTAAGGGCGTATGTACATGTATTTTGATTTGGGTTGTTTTGCATTTGTATTTTGCATCCGTGTGTTTCCATGTATGTGTGCATATATGTTTATTATGTATCCATGTATGTGTTTTGTATGTGTTTATTATTTATTTAGTGTCTGTCTTCTTTTTATGTGTATGTGCGTGTTTTCAATACTCGGGTGTTTGTGTGTGTTCTGTGCGTGTCTCTGTTTCGTGTGTGATTATTTCATGAATTTTATGTGCTCTCCCCTTATTGTTTCATGGTGGTGTGTGTGTGTGTGTGTGTGTGTGTATACTCACGTACGCAGGTGCGTGCGTGTATTTCTGATGCTGGGTCCAAAGACAAGACATGAAATAATAAAAGTTCTTGCAGTGAGCGTCAGTCTTTTCTTTACTACTTTATCCGAATTCGACTCTCTCTCTCTCTCTCTCTCACCCACTCACTTACTCACTCACTCTCTCTCATTCGCTCACTCACCCACTCTATCTCTCTCACACTCACTCACTCACTCACTCTGTCACGCACTCACTCAATCTCTCGATATATATATATATATATATATATATATATATCACTCACTCACTCATTGTCTCTATCTATCTCGCTCTCACCCATTCACTCTCTCTTACTTACAAACTTTCTCACACGCACTCACTCACTCTCTATCTCTCTTGCTCTCTCACTCACTCACTTACTCTCTCTCTCTCTCTCTATCTATCTATCTATCTATCTATCTATCTATCTATCTATCTATCTCATTCTCTCTATAAATCTCTCGTATGTTGATTATCTATATCCCTTACTTTCTATTTCTTTCTTTTATCAATTCTTCCGGCTTTTCTTTCGTTTTTTTTTCCTTTCAGCCTTACACTCCTTCTTTTTTTACTTCATTCATTCATTCATTCATTCGTTCGTTCTTTCTTTCTTTCTTTTATTAATTCTTCTAATCTTTTTTCTTTTATTAAATCTCCTGGTTTTAGCGTTTTTATTTTCTTTCTTTCATTCATTATTTATTTATCTTTCTCCGGTCTTTCTTGTGTTCTTGTCTTTCTTTCTTTCATTCGGATTTTCATTCTTTTTATTTTCTTTCATCTTTTCACTCTTTTTTTCTTTCTTCCTTTCTATTAATTCTATCTGTGTTTTCTTCTTTTTTTTCTCTTAGACTTCTTTCTTTCTTTCTTATGTGTTCTTTCATTCTTCCTTTCTTTCAGTCCAAGGACAAATTAAATGAAAAAACTCAGTGTTTTCTTTCATTCCTCCTCTACGTACCTTGACTATTTTTTTGTCTCTCGCTGTTTATACCTGTCCTTACCATTACATAATCTCTACCTTTTCTTTCTTTCTTTCTTTCTTTCTTTCTTTTTTCTCCGGTTTCTTTCTTTCTTTCTTTCTTTCTTTCTTTCTTTCTTTCTTTCTTTCTTTCTTTCTTTTTTTCTCCGGTTTGTCTCTTTCTTTCTTTCTCCGGTTTGTCTCTTTCTTTCTTTCTTTCCGGTTCATCTCTTTCTTTCTTTCTTTCTTTCTTTCTTTTCTTTTCCTGTTTGTCTCTTTGTTTCTTTCTTTCTTTCTTTCTTTCTTTCTTTCTTTCTTTCTTTCTTTCTCCTGGATTTTCATTCTTTTTTTCATACAGTCTTTCACTCTTTTTTCTTTCTTCTTTTCTATTAATTCCACCTATATTTTTTTCTTTTATCTCTCAGTTTTTCTTTCTTTCTTTCTTTCTTTCTTTCTTTCTTTCTTTCTTTCTTTCTTTCTTTCTTTCTTCGGTTTGTTTCTCTCATTCTTTCTTTCTTTCTCTTGGATTTTCATTCTTTTTTTTTTACAGTCTTTTTATCTCTTAGTCTTTTTCTTTCTTTCTTTCTTTCTTTCTTTCTTTCTTTCTTTCTTTCTTTCTTTCTTTCTTTCTTTCTTTTACACACCCACACTCACAAATATGCGCACACGCATCTAATCACCACATCTGTAGTTAGTTCGCTAAAACATCATTCTTCTCTGACTGCTCGGAGCGGCACTTCAGGCGAACTTTCCAGTATGTGGATGTAAGGAGAGCAAGAAACGAAAAATAAAGGCGAAACTGGAAATACGAAAAAGAAAAAAGAAAAAAAAAAGAGATCGCTAGGGCGAAGGAACTGCTTGTGCCATTCACACATTCTATGGTCCCTCCGCTATCGCTCTTCTCCCCCTTCCCAACGGCCCGGAGGCCCTCACTGAGAAATACGGTTCGTACACCTGCATCCTTCGTAAGTCGCGAACTAGGTAGGACCGAATGTAGCCAATGGATAAATTATTTTAACCCAATGCCTCTTCAACACTATCCCCCCGTCCACCGCCATTTTCTTCTTCCTTTTCCTTTTGTTTTCTTCTCTTTCTTCGTAACCTTAACGTTCGCCTTTTTCCCCTCCGGACGCCATCTTTATTCTCTTCCCGCCTTTATTTATTTTTTTTTTTTTTTTACCGCTCTTTCCACGGACTATTTCTTGTTCCTACCCCACCATATCTTGCTCTTTCCCCATTGGCTTTAGAGAAAAGAAAAAAAAAATTGTGTAGTAGGGAAAGACAAATATATCCTTTGTTTTCTATATTCTCGTGTTTTCTCCTTCGGTGTTTTATTTTATTTTTTTTATTTATCACTTCGCTCTTCTAGCCGCCATTTTCCTCTTTGCTATCATTCTAAGGGCTAAAGATTAGGTGGTTTACGGCATTTTTCGTTCATTGTATCATTGTTGAAATGCAGTACAGAAGCACCTCGTACATCTTTCATATAACGGGTAAAGATATTAGACTCCGGCAGTAACCTACAATATTGAACCTTCTCCATACAGAAGAAGAAAAAAAATGGAAAATTTATAAAAGTTTTTCAATTTATCGGGGGAAATAGATTTCATGACACATCCACGTCTGTACTGCACTAAATTGTTCTTTCCAGTAAATGCCTGATCAAAATAATTTTCATAGCTTATTAAAAGACTGGATGTTCTCAATTTGTTATTTTCCGTTAATACGGCGACAAAATAGTTTTCGTAGAAAATAGAAGACTGTCTGTTCGTAAATAGTTCCCTGATTTTACTACGGGGGTAAAATAATTTCCGAAGCACATTCAAGATGGCGTTTCTTAAATTCTTTCCGTCACTTACTAGAAGGACAAAATTTCTTTTGTAGACCTATCTAGACAGTTTTCTTTAATTGTTCCTTTCATGTCCTTCTTCTTCTTCTTCTTCTTCTTCTTCTTCTTCTCCTCCTCCTCCACTTCTTCTTTTGCCTGCTCCTCCTGTTCCTCCTCCGCCTCCTTCTTCTTCCTCCTCCTTCTCCTGTTCCTCATCTTCTACTTCTTCTTCATCTTCTTATTCTTCATCATCTTCTTTTTCCTCCTCCTCCTCCTCATCTTCTTCTTCTTCTTTCTTTTCCTCCTCCTCCCCCTGATCTTCTTCTTCTTCTTCTTCTTCTTTTTCTTCTTCTTCTTTCTTTTCCTCCTCTTCCTGATCTTATTCTTCTACTTCTTCTTCTTCTTCCCCATCTTCTTGTTCTTGTTGTTTCTCCTCATCTTCTTGTTCTTGTACTTTCTTTCTTTCTTTCTTTCTTTCTTTCTTTCTTTCTTTCTTTCTTTCTTTCTTTCTTTCTTTCTTTCTTCTCCTCCTGATCTTGTTCTTCTTCTTGTTCTTCTACTTTCTCCTCTTCTTCTTCTTCTTCTTCTTTCTTTCTTTCTTTCTTTTTTCCTTCTCCTCCTGATCTTGTTGTTGTTGTTGTTCTTCTTCTTCTTCTTCTTTCTCCTTATCCTCCTCTTTTTCTTCTTCTTCTTCCGTATCCCTTCAGAACATTGGCGTTCTTGGCTCTCCACAATATCATGTCCCATGTATGTTATTAATTTTAACTACGTATGTTATACGTTGTTTTCTGCCATCCCTCTTGCCATCAATCTGTCATGTAAGAAGTTTGAAAATTGTCTCGTCTTGATATTAATTATAAATGTAATTTTGTTTCCATTTTCTCAAAATTATTTGGTCATTGTTCGGAGGAGCTCTTCGCTATGACATCTCAGTTCATTTTCTTGTTCAAACCACAGTATGCTCAGCATCCTTCTGTAGAAACACATTTTTTTTCTTCAAGTCCTTTCTTCCTATATAAGGAGATTATCCATAATTCATTGGTACATTGAAGGACTGATATTGCAAAGCAGTTCAGTACTTTTATTTTGTTTCTCACAGAATATTTCATTTTCTGAATACTTTGCTTAGCTTTTTGAAGGCATCTTTAGCTTTCCCAGTGCACCTTTGCATTTGAGTATCAATCACTTTCCGTCAAAGCACTTCCCAGATATTTAAATGGTTCGTTCTTTTGTGCTTTTGATATACCCAATTTGTAATTTCCTTTGTTGTTCCTTTACCTGTTGACTTCACTAGCTTCTGTAGGAGTATTTATTTTTTTTCTGTCTGTAACTGCTATCAACATTGTTTCTTTTGTATTCACATGTTAAGATTGTAGATGCCTATATTGAATTCTGGCAGATCTTCTAATTTTCCCAGAATCCTCTCATTGTATTGGTTGAATAAGTCCAGTGAGAAGATATACCATTTTCTTACCACGCTTTTTAATTTTGTACATTTATTGAATTCATTTTTTATCCGTATGCAGGCAGTCTGCTTCCAGTATAAGTTCAGGGTTATTTTAATATCCTTCGTAAATATATCAACACTAGCAGCCATACCCAGCTGGTCGAACAGAAAAAAGCGTTCAATTAGAATGGAGCAAAAACAGCATCATGTTTAGATGTAACAGAGTCTATCTTCAATTACTTTCATTTTGAATTAATGCACTTACTGATATAACAGAAGTAGTCAGTATTTATTTAATCGAAGTTAGCCGAGGACATGAAGGGTTAAAACAGGCAACACGAAGACCCACTTCAGACTACAATTATTTTGGAGTTTTTGAAATTCAATTTGTCAGTATTCTGCCAAGGATGTAAAAGAGGGTACATTTATAAAACAGTTGGTAAGTTTGATTAAAATTGGTTGAAAGAACAACGAAAAATAAGAAATAAACCCGTAAAAATCGCCATTTTTCGCTATAATGGTGGTCTTAATTATCAAATTAAATGACTGTTAAACAATCAACTTATTGCTGGCTGAAATTAAGTGAAGTTTGTATTAGATTTGCTTGAAAATTGAGGAAGTTTTTAGTTTAAAATTTGTGTTGAAATCGATTTTTTTGTTTTTCGCTAAAACCAGTGGTGTAGAAATAAAAATAAGATATCGTTGAGCTCATCATGACGGAAGTAACCTACATACCGAGTTTGAACGAAATCGGAGGAAGAAAGTTGAATTTATTAATTTTTGATCGGCGTTATCGATTATTGATTTTTAAAAAATAATCCCTTATGCCAAGAACCTATCTCTTACATGGCACAATGAATGTGCAAGTTTGGTCAAAATCAGTTGGATGGATCTCGAGTGAAAACGTATCCCATTGACAGACAGACACACAGACATATATATATATATATATATATATATATATATATAACGCCTATATATATATATATTGTATTATATCTATTATTATTATTATTGTAAATGTTCGGAATGGGCTCTTCGCTAACCATCTCAGTTCAGTTATTATATTGCAATTTACATGCTGTTATTATTTGTATCTTTTTTACATGGAGCTGATATTGCAATTTTCCCCGCAGTTATTGCCATTTCTTTCTGCGGTAGACCAGTCGCTATCTAAGTCTATAGAACCCATTCTGTCCTGCTATTTACCCATAGCTGGAGGGAGAAGAATAGTATCCATACCTTTCCCCAGAGTACTGGCACGTAAATGAATATCAGTCATGTGCCATGCATGATAGAACTTTTCTCCATCATGTATCTTCGATACGACTGACGAAGCTTCCCCCCGCATTGTTTGCTATTTCTTTCTTGGTAGTCCAGTCCCATCAAGGTTATTGAAACCCCTCTGTCCTTCTTTTACCAGCAGATAGGCATAGAAAAAAAGGATTTAGTCATATATTTCCCTATGGGGTGTCTTACTAAGAGAAGTTAATGTGAATGTCTTCCAGCTTTTGAATTCGAAACATGATATCCGATTCCACAATAATTTGTATTTTCTTTAAAACTTCCTCATTGTTCAAAAGGCAGTAGTCCATGATATTCTCAGTGTTGTTGTCCTCCTCACTCTCTTTACCTCAAGACTTCTCTTCATATATCCTTTCACTGATTTGTTGTTTACGGATTATCAACCTTTTGCAGGTTATTTAAAGCCAGAAAATATGGTTTTAGATTATAAGAATTATTTTTATTTTAGATAATAATGATTTACTGATACAAGCCTTGCTCTTCCTTTAGCTGGAAAGAGAACCTAAGTGAATATAAAGAACCCAACTGAAATTAGAACTCGGGTCTCAAATTTCAATTTCCGAACAGGTTATCCATTACCCCACCCGCACATCCAGGTTTACAGTGTCTGGTATGTTCAAGGGTTAAAAATCAAATACTGGCAAAAACTAAACGCGTCGCTTAAATTTGGTGATCGTTTCCAACTTGACGTTTGAAGGTGGGTGTCTTGTCCTCTCTTCATCTGTAAAAAATAGTCCTATATTGTCGATATGGAAGAAAAAATAAATAAAATCCGGGGATAATAATAATCCCTCTGAATAAAGGTCTGATTTACATTAACCAGAAAAAGGCTTAGACCAAGGTTATCTTTTTAATTTTGAATTTTAATGTTAAACTATAACTTGTGCAAAAACATTTCCATTTGGGGGACTGTTAAAAGTCGGAAGTCGAAACGCTGTTCGTAAAATTTTTTTTCTCTGTGCCTCATATATATATATATACGAGGTTTTATATATATATATATATATCCGGGATATATATACACACGCTCTATCCTAATATTGAGCACTTTCTTCCATAAATATATTTTTGGCCGAAGACTATATTTCTTTATAAATATATAAATATAAATTTATACATATAAATATATACGTGGGGGGGGCTATAAACATAAATATATACATAAATATATATATATATATGTACACTGAACATATACGTATATATACATATATATATGTACCCGGAAATGAAGCTGTTTAAAACACACAAAAATTCGTTTCCGTTTAACCGTTTATGAACCCGTTTATGCGGGTTCTTCAAATTTTTTCCATACTGGCTATGAGAACCCACGGTAAATTTAAAAAAAAATATCCCCTTTTGTATTTAAATTTAAATTGAATGATTGAACGCTAGTCTGAATTGGACTCAATTCATTCGTGTTATACTCTTCTGGTGTATATATATTTATATATATATATATATATATAATTTTTGTTGCATTACTTAACCAATTTTGTTTCAACATCTATATCAAATGGATGGCATCTGAAAACAAACAAACCCTCGGCTCGTCCGTCGATAAAGCGCGGCCTCTGAATTTGAAAGCGAACGCAGGATCCATGTGACATTCCGTTGATTCCGTATCAAAGAAATTCCCCCGTTCGGTCGAGATTGTATTTTTTTGAATTTGATAAACTTACCATTTCATTTCTAACCTCCGTTTTAGTTATTCAGTGAACATTTCTAAAAAGAAACATTTTTTGCTTATATTTCTTCTATTTCCATCTATCTAAGCTATCAATCTATCATTTTATTTTATCTATCTATTATATGAGTAATTATACGTGGAACAATTTGAAGCTTTGTGAAAACTCATAGATACATTTTTTTGTTTAAACAAGGACATATACAAGAAGTCCAACAAAAACAAAAAAAAATTGTATTTTATTGATGCTATAACGATTACAATTTTTTTTATTTTTTTACTTTTAGCTTTTGCAGGTTTTCCTTATTAATATTTCTCTTTCGAAAGAAGACAGCAAAAAGATTTCTAAATTGCTTGGTTCTATTTTTCTATCTATCTATCTATCTATCTATGCGTTGTTATTGTATTTAAATATCTATCTTGCTACGACGTATTTGTATCAAATCTATCTATCTATTCTATTCTATCTATCTTTTTTCTGAACACGTCAATCTATCTATCCATCTTTTATTTCTTCAGTCGTTTTCACTGCTTCAGCTATCTTTTATCATCCATCTATCTATCTATCAATCTATCTCATTCTTCGTTTTATTCTCATCTACTATCTATCTATCTATCCTATCTATTTCTGACCTATCTATCTATCTATCTATCTATCTATCTCTGCGTGTTTGTATCTATCTATCTATCTATCTATCTATCTATCTATCTATCTATCTATCTATCTATCTATTTCAGCGTGTTTGTATCTATCTCTCTATCTTATCTCTGCGATGTTTGTATCTATCTATCTTGTCTATCTATCTATCTATCCATCTATCTATCTATCTATCTATTTTGCATTGAAGGAATATTTGGCATCAATCTATCTATCTATCTATCTATCTATCTATCTATCTATTTATCTATCTATCTCATCGTGTTTATATCTGATATAATGGAATAATGATACCTGTGTTCCCCCTCACTGGAATATGGTTGGCTGGTGTCCGTCAAAATAAATATTTAAGTCTATAATGACGCCCATTGGACTACGCTATTGGCTATCCTATTGGCCTAATGAAGATATATTACAAAGTGCGACTATGACGAGTACCAGTCGATTACTGCTAAACGTTCTTATATTGGGGTTATGGTAGCCAAAACCACTTAGCTAAGTCGATCAAATGTATCCCTTTCAGGACATATTAATATCTTTCTATCTATTTATTATATAACGAGAGAATATGAACACTATGGGTATGTCCCAGACCTCATAAATACGTTGGACACTATTGTAAGTGGGGGTAATATGCTGTCTAAGTAGTCCACCAAGAGCTGTGGTGTACCTACTTCACGCGGAACCTCTATCATTCCTCATATATACCGACTTCACGGCGAGGATTGTAATTTGTTGATGTTAAAAAGATTACCATTTCCAACCTCCTTTTTGGTTATTCCTCATTCAGTAACCATTTCTAGGTTACAACATCTATCTATCTATCTATCTATCTATCTATCTATTTCAGCGAGTATTGTATTTTGTTGATGTTGTAAAGATTACCATTTCATTTCCAACCTCCATTTTGGTGATTCTTTCCTTCAGTAGCCTTTTCTAGGTTACAACATTTATTTAAATTATTTACATTCAGACTAATATCCTCATCTTTTTCGTTATTATCACCTGATCGCCTTCTGACTGAATTTCTGGGATGAGGAGTTATCATTATTTAAATTATAATCCACAAGTATTTCGGACTGAAGCCTTTATCTAATCTGCTGTTAGACTGATCTCTTTATACTGCCGTTGACACGGGATATCCCATCTATTCTTTTTTTTTATCTAGGAAACGGTGTGAGCAATATCTGAGTGGTACTAAAAATAAGAAAGAGACTGGATATCCATCGCAATGGAACATATACAATCTAACAACGTATATTAAATAAAAGTTTCAGTTCGAAATTCCCTGTAGTTTACTTAGATTAATATACAACTGAGGAAGCCCCGAGCGGAAGACGGCCTAAACTTGGTGATAAAAAATAACAAAGATTATGATTATCATACTGTAGACAAATATTAAATTTAACAACCTAATATCTATTTTATTTCCATTTGCTTTTTTTTTTTTTTTTTTAAATAATCTAAAAACGTTTTTATTAATCAATTCACTCCAAGCAAGCTGATAATGCTGCTAAGACGCAAGGTTTTTGTGTTAATGAAAGAGAATGAGAAGATTTTATAAGTAACAGGAAAACTAATCCTAACAAGAAAAATGTGATAAACCCTTACTCCTGTTCACTAGTCGGGGAAAGAAGGATGTGTACCAAGCGATTGGGAAACTTATCATTTTTATAATTTTTGTACATAATTAAAGAGGAATGATTCAAAAATAAGGTTAAAAAAAATAACTTTTCTCGTTTTTTACCAGTTTGGTGTGTATGTTCATGAAAACATTTTTTTCCGATGTTTTTTTGGTGGGGTGAAAATTTGTTAAAATGCTAATCGCATTTGCCCCATGACTTTGCTGAGTTCAAGAATTCAGCTCGAAAACCCAATGAAGAAATAATGAGAAAGAAATCTTTTGCGCTAATATAATTTAACATTTTTCTCCGACGTTAAGGAAGAAAAAAAAAAGAAAAAAACAAAACGTTAAAAACCAAATATTCAATTAAATTAAAAAATACGACAGGTCAATTTAAGTGTAAAGCTTACTATTTAGAAAACATTCCGATCGAATAAGACAATTTAAACGGCTTAACGGGGACGACAGATATATAATCGACTTTTGCGCCATCTTATCGATTAAAATGAATAAAGTTAAGCAGATGTTAAACAGATGAACACATCATTTTGTTTTCAAATTGTTTCTGATCGTATATTTAAAGAAAGGGGATTAAATTTATTTGAATCTGCAATAGAAGTTCCGTTTTCGATTTTAAATCTTCTTTACCTGATCTTCTCTTTACTGTCATTTCCAAATCTGTTAAACTGATCAAACTTCTGTCGGATCAAGTTTACAATCAAAAGAATTTCGTCTCATTGAAATGTTTCTTAGAATTAAATCATCGAACGGCTTTTAACACTCAAATGAAACTTAGAGGTTCCACAAACTTCGTAATGCTATTTTTGTGGAGGATGTCTGCTTATTTCGAGAAAAAGACTAGTGTATCGATATGTTCTATTTCGCCATCTTTTATACGACACTTCTGTAACCGATGCCTATGTCTTGAAGGGACATGACAAAAAAAAAACCTTTTTTTTTTAAGTTTTAAGAATATATTTTTTAAATTATTATATAAAGACAGTAATTAATAGACGATCATTATATTCACTATTTACATTATTCAGATTATTGTCCTCATCTTTGTCGCCATATTTATTACAACGTTACGGCCGTTGTATGCTCCGGCCTTCTTCAGGAGTTGGGATGTCGAACTGAACACTTTTTTTCGCTCATTGGGGTAGACTGTTATACTTCCACGTGCCATGTTTATTGGATATCAGTTATCAGTTATCTCCTGTTAATTCCCCTCTCCAAGTTCTCCACTGCCTTAACCAGGTATTGAACTCACACTCTTTGGGTCCTGTCACTGGATCTAACTAACGTCTTTATCCACTGTGCAATGTGTCCTTGAAAGCGTTAGTGATAAATATGGCAACAAAGATTAGGACAATAGTCTGAATCATGTAAATAGTGTACATAATACCTCATCTCAGAACTATAGACGTATATAGAGTTATAGTAATGTTTTATTTTCCAAACACGGTCATCACCTTGCGTCCGTGTTCAGAGTTGATATTATTGACTATTGGCTTTTTTTACTTTTTATTAATAATATTTCTATTATTTTTACACTTTTTTTAGATGAAAATGAAACCGTACGTGAAAAATACGAGGCAACTTTTTATTCCAGAACAGAAAGTTAGAAGATTAAAGAGGGCGAGAATCATTTTTAAATAAGGTGGAAAATGATGGGAATATATATATATATATATATATATATATATATATATATATATATATATATATATATATATATATATTCGAATTCTTCGGTTAAACTTGGAGATTAATTATACATTCTTATTACTCAAAAGTCTAAAAATCCTTGGAGAATTCCAGTAAGATATCTTTAATCATTTCTAAGATACACCGGTTCAAAGCTTAATCTAAAAAATGGACAATTTTGCTGTTACACGATTTGGACAATTTTACTGTTACACCTGGTATATGACAGAAGCATCAGACCAGATATAGCGGTAATATTCAATACACGAATGAATAATAGATTTGTAAATGGGCAAAATGGATTCTGACAAGAAAGATTGTCTGGCACGACACAGTGAATCAAATTTCCCAGAATTAGACCTAGCAATAGAGGAATGCAATATAAATAGACGAGAAACATTCAAACCAGGTGAGAAGTGGCAATAACCACAAATAAAACGCCTACGAAAAAAAAATCAACCTCATTCTATGAAAAGAAGAGAAAAGAACTACGCAGGCATTATGAGACCCTCATTTGAAATGTGTTACCTTTTTCCTGCAAAGATGTCTTCAATGAGGTGGTTTGTTTGCTTGTTTTTTTTTCTCTTGCCTTTCTACTTTCTCCGTGAAAATCTGAAAACTAATTACTCCGAACTCATTTATTATGAACACCTGTAGAGAAAGTTAAAGACGACAGTTGTGTCCTGGAGTAGCGACAGCTGAAAATCATTCTTGAAACTATTTCGCGTCTGATTGCCACAGGGAATCCTTTCCTACAGGATAATTTACTTATGTCCTATATTTAAAAGAAACCTTTTCCATAAATGCTAACTATATATATATATATATATATATATATATATATATATATATCCAAACAATTAGTAGAACTATTATTAATTCGGTATTTTTAGTGCTTAAAAAGTTAATATAGTGGATACTCGTATTTGAGATAGACGCCACATTTTGATTTTTACATTAAACAATCTGCAGTGTGTCGATCGGATAGGAGTCGTGGCGCAACGGAATGGGAAATCGGGGGTCCGGGTTCGAAATTCAGTAGAGTTCTCTATATTTATTTCCGGGCATAATGCTTGGGAAGGGTATGAATCCATGTCTTTTACAATAAGTTATGAGTTGACTAGCAGGTCAGGTTGGGTCCTATAGCGGTCTTGGAATTAAATGGAAAATACGGTCTAAAATCTTCTTTACTCTGTCAGAATCGAAATGGAAAATAAAATGTATGGAAAATCTATCTATATATATATATATATAACTCTATTTGTCGTTCTGAATCGAACGTGACATCTGGCATGGTTGGCAAAATGAAAAAGTATCATTCCTCATTAAAATAAATTCACGAAATTTATGAGTTTCGTGAATCAAAATAAAAAAATCAATTTATAAAAAATTATTTTTAATCCGACGTTTTTATTATACATAAAAATATCCATATATATATATATATATATATATATATATATATATATATATGTGTGTGTATATCAACCCCAGTAAATATATAATCCAGTGTTCTTAATGAAGAAAATCGTGTAAATTTACAGAGCAATATTATAAATTAATTGAAAAAAATATGTTTTTTTCACCTTCTGTTTCAAAAATGGAAGCAAAATAAATTCGTGGGCTACATTCATCTGGCATGGTTGGCATATTCCGCCAATTAAAATGTTCCATATATATATATATATACATTCCTCATTAAATATATATATATATATATATTATATATATATATATATATGGAATATATATAATTTTGTACTAGTTTATTTGTAGATGATCTTGAAGAATCAATTTTATGAAAATAAAATAAATTTAAACCGTTTATTTTCTCATTTTAATAAATCCGACGTTTTAAAAACTTATAATGCACATCAGGCATGCCTAAAATTGAATTTGCATCCAGAACGATATTGAATTATTGGGGCGTATATATATATATATATATATATATATATATATATATATATATATATATATTTGTCTATATAAATATATATATTATTTATATTGCTCGTATCGTCCTCATCTTTATGGCATGTATCCCATGTGATGGTTAGAATGTCGTGTTTTGTCGCTGGGGTATTTAAAAAAAAATCCATGTCTAAATGGATGTCAGTTTTCAGATACCTATTCCCTCTCCAATTCTCCACTGCCTTAACCGTGTTCTTATTTTAGATAACTTTTATTTTTACCCTAGCAAAATAAAGTTTCAGTTCGACATTCAACCACCTGAAAATTTACAACGGCCGAAACGCTGTAAAGAAAATTTGAGAACAGAGATGAATTGATAAACAGTGTAAATAGTGTACATTTTCATCTCAAAATATAGACAGGTTTTGAAACGCTATAACATATTTCTCTCATCTTTTCAAAAGATTTTCCGTGAAGCAAAAAAAGTTAGCAAATAATTCGTAACTTTTTAATCAAAATCCTATTTTTCAATGCATAAATACACACACACACACATATAAACACACACACATATGTGATATATATATATATATATATATATAATTGGTATATA